AGCCAATTAAGTTTGCTCTGCCCTGGTGATTCCCTAAGACCCAGCCTCATCCAGTTTACAATCCCACCCAAGCTGTGTGTAGCAGCTTTTGCATATAAATGGCCTGTGCTTGCTCAGGCTAAAACCTGTAAAACAAGCTGCAGCTGCGTCAGGGAGCCCAAAACCTATCAAGAAAAGGCCTAAGACTCAGCACCAGCACCAGCCTACCTTGCTTCATAGCTGAGCCTCATCTGGGCACTTCCAAAACCAATACAAAGAGGAGGAATCTGCAGATTTCTCTGTAGTTCCTGCAGGTTGGCCCCAGACAGTGGCTGACTTTGCATCTCCCTGGAGACCCAAGAGCCGTCAGTGTCAAACCATACCAGATTACGGCTCTACACATCAATAAGCAACACACTCAAGCGCAGACTCAGTGAGCACCAAAGCCCCACTGAAGCAAGTCCTGCTCCATAGGGGTGTCTCCTACACAGCAGCTCTCCCACTGTAGTCACAGCTGGTTCTCACAGGCAATTGGCCTAGAGGTCAACTCCTCCCAGTGACACCAACAGCAATTAAATCTCAACTACAACAAAACTGTGCTCACAGCCCACTAAGCACACTGACTGAAATAAAGAATAATATACAGGAATTCAACAGTAGAGTAGAGGATTCTGAGAATCAAATCAACAATTTGCAATATGAGGAAGCAAAAAACACCCAACCAGAAGAGAAAAAAGAAAAAAATAATAAAAAAAAAACACATTAAGATAGTGTAAGGAGCCTCTGGGACAACTGCAAGTGTACCAAAATTTGCCTTCTGGGATGCCAGAAGAAGAAAAAGTGCAAGATATTGAAAACCCATTTGAAGAAATAATGACAGAAAACTTTTCCTACCTGTTGAAAGAAATAGACTTACAAGTCCAGGAAGCACAGAGAATCCCAAACAAGAGGAACCCAAGAGGACCACACCAAGACACATCATAATTAAAATTCCAAGGGCTAAAAACAAAAAGAGAATCTTAAAACCAGCAAGTTATCTACAAGGGAATACCCATACAATTGTCAGCTGATTTCTCAACAGAAACTTGCAGGCCAGAAGACAATGGCAAGAAATATTCAAAGTGATGAATAGCAAGGACCTACAACCAAGATTATTCTACTCAACAAAGTTATCACTTAGAATTGAACATCAGATAAAGAGCTTCACAGACAAGAAAAAGCTAAAGGAGTTCATCACCACCAAACCACTATTATATGAAATGTTGAAGCGTATTCTTTAAGAGGAAGAAGAAAAAGATCAAGAATATGAACAACAAAATGGCAACCAATACATATCTGTCAACAATTGAATCTAAAAAATCAAAATAAATGAACAAGAAATCTAATGAACAAAATAAACTGGTGAATAAAGTAGAATCAGAGGCATGGAAATGGAACAGACTGACGATTCTCAAAGGGAAGGGTGCTGGGGGTGTGGGAAGAGATTAAACTAAGATCTTATATGCATTACCTATGGACATAGACAATAGGGTGGAGAAGGCCTGGGGTGGGGTGGGAACTGGGTGGAGGAGGACAATGGGGAGGAGGGACATCAGTAATAATCTCAACAATAAAGATTTTTTTTAAAAGTGCCTGAGAGGCCAAACACTTCTGCTATCTCATTTCCACAAGAGTGGTCCCCCCCAATCTCCCACCACAGTTCTCCCTGACTAGGCTGCCTCATTTCCCTTCTGCAGCTCAGGTTTCGGCACAGATGATAGTTTGACCTCCACATGGCCTTTAACTGGTGATCAAGTAAACAATGGCGAAGTTGACTGTGGGTTTTGAGGAGTCGAAAGAAAATGGAAACTCAAGGATGTCAAACATGTCTTGTTCGGTGAGAGGTTCAGCTCATGCTTAATGTATGTGGATAAACATTCTCTTCACATGGGCCAGGGAAAACCAAATATGGAAACTCTGACGGCTGCCATATCTGCCAGCAGAGGCCCTGTTCTGGTTTCCTCCGAGAGATTTTCAAGACAGAAGAGATGTTCTAGAAACTCAGATTCAAGCCATGAAAAGCAACATTTATCATCCTGCTCCTCTGTCCTTCTCCATCCTACCAACGCCAAGCTGAGTAATATGCATTATTCAATGACTTAAACCCTCTCGGCTCCATTTGGCTTTCCTATACCCACTTAAAGCCCAGAGTCACTGTCAGAAGTCAAAGCTCATTAATGCTGGAACCTAAATTCAATGCCCTTGAGATATAAAATGTAGTTCTAGACAAAGCCTTCCAGGCTCTGATTAATTCATCATGACTTCTGGGTTCTCACATTCAGGATCACACTTGCTATGAAAAGACACTTGGTGGAGGGAGAGATCCAAAAGTGAATGAGTAAAACTTGGTTGGTTCAGAAGAATCTCCTGTACTCATCAAAGAAATGCAGATAAACCAGCGGTATCTGAGAATGACCCAGCCACTTGGAGTGAGTCATGAAGACAAGGGCTGAAAAGACAATGCAAGAGCACAGTGGAGACATTCTAGAAGTGGCCTTGATCTTCCCTCAGAATCATGGACTGTTAGGACTGGAGATTATTCACTCCTATGGCCTCATTATACCAAGAGAAGAGAGATGCAGTGAGGGAAAATGAGACTGTTAAAGTCCCATAGCAGTTCTGAAATGATAACCCAATGGCCCTTCCTCTTCATCCACTTCTTTCCTCTCACTGTCCATGGGAAGGTCCATATCCTTCCAGGCATCAGTACAAAGACTGAGAGGTAACACATCCATGGGGTAGACAGCAGGCAAAAGGCACTGCCCTTCAAAAACACTAGGAAGGCTCTGGTTTGTGTTGCTCAGTGGTTACAGTGTCAGCCTGTGCACCGAAGAGTCACGGGTTCAATTCCCAGTCAAGGGCACATACCTGAGGTACAGGTTCAAATCCGAGCCCCAGGTCAGGGCACCTGCAGGAGGCAATGTCTCTCTCACATCCATGTTTCTCTCTTTCTAAGGGCACCTGCAGGAGGCAATGTTTCTCTCTTTCTCTTTCTTTCTCTCTCTGTCTCTCCACCTCCCTTCCTTCCACCTGCCTTCCTCCACCCCTCCTTCCCTTCTACTCTCTCTCTAAAAAAAAAAAAAATCAATGGAAAAAGTATCCTTGGGTGAGGTTTCACACACACTACCCTTAGGGGAGGATTAACAAAACAAAACAAAAAAAAGCACTAGGCAGGCCAAGTTCACTTCCAGTATCCCATCTACCACACCCCATCCTAGTTCCTACAGACCTGATCCCCTAAGAGCCCAGATGGTCACCAACACCTGTCCCAGCTGAGCCAAGGAGACAGACAGCATTAGTAGGGATTTAGAGTGAAAATTTTCGGCATTCTCCAGGATAACGTATGAATGCCTGATACTAAACTTGTACCCATATATCTTATCCCAAAACACACACACACACACACACACACACAGACACACACACACACACACTTTTCCTCTGAACCAAAGACAGACAGAATAATGTAGAGGAGTGCTTCGAAAGATTCATGAGCACATGAAGCACTGAGCCCAGAGATCTTCTTGAAATGCAAATTCTGATTCAGTAGACCTGGGACAGAGCCTGAGATTCCACACTCCTAACCACCTCCCAGATGACTCTGGGGCTGTTCTGAGGCCCACACACTGAGTAGCTAGGGGCAGACATTACACAATGTTGGAACCAAACAAACCAGGGTTTAAATTCTGGTTCCTCCACTTAGGAGCTTTGTGATTCTTGGACTGAGTTTCCTAACTTCATTCTGCCTCAACCACCTCATCTCTGAAATGGAAACAAGAATACCTAAGAAACACTTGATGATGATTACATAAGTTAATGATGTGAAGATGTTAACAGTGCCTGGCATAGTATAAGGGCTTGATAAATGTCAGTTGCTGGCTGCCTCTAAGATTCATGAAGGCAGAGACATCTGCCTGGCTCCCTGCCAAAACCCCAACGGCCAGGACATAGTAGGTGCTCAGTGGATGTTTGTGAATGAGTAAATGTATCTCCAGTACACCCACACACACGCTCAATATTTACACACTCCCGTGGTTCTATGGCTTTCTGTAGGGAA